TGAACACATGCATTATGTTTGCAGTTTTGTTGTGAACGAGTATTCAATCTTTTTAATTGACATTTAAAATAAATATTTGATCTGAAAAATACTGTTCCTAATCAAAGTGGTGGGTTCATCTATATCATCTTTAGATTCAATAGATCTTTTATGCTACTTCTAAAAAAACTTGTCTTTTTCTTCATTAAAATTAAACCGAGGAAACTTGAGCTTTTTTCTTCATCAAAGTATTATCTAAAAGCATCAAGCATCCATTAAGAGTAGTTAGTTATGCTTATTGTTCTTTTTTTTGGATAAAATGTAAGTATATATATCCAGAAAAATAGCATAGTACAATGCTTCACGTGTACAATCAAGGTGCATATCCCATAACCCGGGATACCACAAAATCAAAACTCACGCTCACACAATCAACATTTTGAACGCAAATCACAACAGGAACAAAACAATCCAACAAACCTAGCACAACACAAAATAGGTATTCCTAACTTAACATCCAAAGAAAAGCCGGAAGGGAGTAGTAAACTTTGAGGCAAAGCAAACCTCCCCTTTTTTCTTATTAACTCCCGGTAATCTCTCTAGACATTCGGTGGTGAAAGTTAGGCCTTCTTTGTCCAAGTCATCCGTAAGTCGAAGAAAAGAGTCCACTCTAATCACACTAACTTCCACACATTTAAACGGTTTAACAAATAACCTGAACTTCTTTCCATTCATCACCTCACATTTGGTTACTACATCGTCTTGATGCAACTCGGTCTCATCCATTACTACTCTTTCGTTGTCTTCCAAAAAGACCTCGTCGTCGTCATCTTCAGAAGCCTCATGTTCCATTCGCGTACCCACTGTTTGGGCCAATATTTGTGCCCCCTGGGCAGTAGGCCCGGTCGGGTCATTCGTACCCCCGGGCGGGTGAGGGGCAGTTTGGAGCTCCTGGGCAGTGGCAGTAGCTGTCTGGGCAAGAGACCCGGTCGGATCAGGGGCTAACCCGGTCGGGTAAGACCCCTGGGCAGCAGCAGTTTGTGGCTTTTCAGCCACCTTCCCTATTTTTTCATTTTTCTCAATGCACTTTTCCTTGTCTCTTTCTCCATCGTCCCGTTTGGCAAGCTTCTTACAGATAAATGGGTGGTGCCCAAATTATTTGCAATGAAAGCAAAAGTTAGGAAAAGTTTCATAAAGCACACTTTGTTTGATTACCTTTCGGGAAGGTAGTCGTATAGGAAAATGAAGTGGTGCTGGCTTTGAAACATCATCCTCAATTAAAACTCTAGCATAATCATTGTTTGTCCTCTCCTGAGTAATCTTGTCCGTGGTTATAGGAACCCCGACCATAGATGCCACCTCACTCATAGCCTCATCGTTCCATAAACTCATAGGTAGTTTAGGGAACTTGACCCAAATTGGTATTTTTAGGAATTCTTCATCCTCAAAAGTGAAGTCCTCCGAAAGTTCTTTAAGCATTATGAGTTTACCAAACACGGTGTAAGGTCCCTCAAGTAGTACCTTGGACCTATCCTCTTCATTTTGAAATTTAAAAATTATCCAATCTTTATTATGAGATCTTACAAGGCATCTTACTCCCCATTTAGCTCTCAAATTATGGTCCGCTTTGAGTCCGGGGAATCTTCCCGTGAAGTGTCCAACTAGACAGTGTCCCCACATTTCAACCATCGAGAGTAGTACTCGATCCCCAAAGTCCAGTGTTTCACCTTTCGGGGGGACATATTTCAGCTTAATCCCATTTTTTGGATCACGGTTGTCTTTAAACAAGGAGTTCCATGGCGTCTGCTTTGCCCCCTTTTTTCTTGCAGCAGTTGGTTGAGTATCAACAATTGCTGCAGCTGCAGTCTGAATAACTTGATTACCCTTTGTTGTAGAAGCATTAACTGCCCTAGAATTAACAGAAGCAGCAGCAGTTTGTACAGCAGTTCCAGCCCCTATATGGTTCTCAATTTGTCCAGTAGCATTTTTGGTTTGTTTTGTCCCAGGATCAAATCCCACCTTAGCTGCCATTCCAATCCTTATAGTTCCATCCTCAGTTGCAGCAGGGACAGGGGTGGGCATAAAACCCGGACCGAATCGGTACCGAACCGTCCCTTAATGGTACCGAACCGAATACCGGATATTTAAACGGTTCTATGGATTTTTATCCCGTACCGAAACCGTACCGTTTGAAACGGGTACGGGACCGGTCCTAGTTTTTGAGAACCGAAAAATACCGGACCGAACCGTTCGTAAATAATGCATTTGAATTTTTTATATTTTTTCTATATCAATAGATCTAGACCAACAATTTTATACCCCAAGTATGTATTCATGTGTCCCTAAGATATCTAAAATGTGTTGTTTATATATATATATTGCTAGTTTTATATAGATAATTTATGTTATATTTTGGTATGTATTGAAAGAATATTAAAATTTTAGAAATCATCAATGATTATTTATTTCTAGTAATGTAGTGTACATGACTTTTTGTTGTATCATGTTTGTGCATTTTTTACAACTTAATTAATATGGTTTAAATCTTAGCTCTCAAGATTCAACTATACATTAAATTAGAACTACGGAGTAATATTTAACCTAGAACGAATAAAAAGAACGTTGAAGATTTCTATTATATTCAACTTTTTGATGATATTCGTTTTTATATTTTCACATGAACTTAGTAAATTAAAAATGATATTTTTCTCGTGCGTCATCGTTTTGCTATACTTTTTCTTAGTTGTGTTGCACTATTTGTGTATTTGTGAATTTTAGTACTAGGTATGCAATTTCTTGTATTTATTTCACCATTTCATGTGAGGTGGTTGGTGTGATGATATCTACTAATTGCAAGATTTGTTCAAAAATTTTAGCATGTGTTTGGCATTGTACCGTACCGTTTTGTACTATTCCGAAATGACATGGTACCGAACGGTTCTATCTTAGGAACCGGACCGTATCGGACCGTTAAAAACCTCACGGATACATTACGGGTTTTACCAATTACCGGACCGTTCCGGACCGCGCTCACCCCTACTTTTTCAGCCCCTACAACAAGAACTCCACATCATGTAAATATTCACGGACTCCCATGTCAGACTGATTCCAGTTCTGCTAAAGAAGGATCCAAAGATATGTGTCAATAGGAGAGATTTTTATCTTTGGTCAACATTTTCTTTCCTTCTAAATTCTTCTTCTTTTGCAAGGTCTATTCATTTATCCTCTGCTTTTGTAATTTTGTGACTAAGGTTATTTTTACTTGAACTTATTACAGTTCCATATCAGATAAGATTAGATCAAAGAAGACCAGACCAGTTCAAATCAGACCAGATCAGACTATAGTACCAGACCAAACCAGACCATATGAGACTGTCAGACCATAATTCGACAATTGTATAATACACATAGACCAGACATATACTAGACTAGACCAAATCATACGATACTATACTAGAAAAATTTCAGTCCAAGTAAAAACATATAACTTTTCTTCAATACCTGTTCTCTTTGGTCTTCTATCCACTTGACATTTGGGAAAAAGCATAACAAATTTATGTGATTTGGTAAGCTTATCAGTTCTATGATATGGAGCCAATTTGAACGAGTTCCAATTTGAAAAAAGGGTCACTATTCCAATTCTTTATCTCTTGATTTCAACCTGGTTTCAAAACAGAATCAAGTCTACGCTTACACATATAGTCATAGACCCCAGATGGGTTCAATTTGTCGTGGATCAAGAGTGTGCGCGCGCCATGGATGTCTTTCATTTGGAAAAGCTATATACCTCTCAAATTCTCCTTTATCCTCTGGCTATGTTTTCGTATATGGTACCTACTGCGGAGTGCTTGTGGTTCATGGAAAGGGATAGATCGTGCCCCTTGTGTACCAGCCAGGTAGAATCCGCTGAGCATCTCTTCTTCAAATGCCCGGTTACTGGTTACATTTGGAGGTGCATTTGCAGGTGGTTGGGTATTAGGAGACCTCTATCTCTAAACCGTGCTGTAAAGTGTATCAGAAAGGACTTTAGAGGTGCAAGGTTATTGTGCAAAACAATTAGAATTGCATTCAGTTGCTCGGTTTATACAATCTGTTGAAAGGTAGAAACTCAGGACCATTTGCGGGAACAACTATTGATGCGGAAGAGGTGATTAAACAGATTAAAGGGGTTTGTTATAAAATCTTGTATAGATTATACCCGCATGAATCGGCATGATATGATCTCCTTTTGATAGATTGTGTAGTATGTGTCTGTTTTATTTTATGGTTAATTTTGGTTGATTCTTAGCATTCACAGGTTACTCCCAGGTTGATGATAGGCTGTAGTGTGTTACGTTTTAAAAAGATTGCAGGTTTGCTGTTTTGGCTAACCTGCTTAGATGTTACAGGGAGGGCAATTTTGGATGAGTTATTGGGGTATGCCCCTTTGAATTGTACTTGGTATTAGTTTAGTTTTGTATCAAGGTTACGGTTTATCAAAAAAAAAAATAGTCATATATAGTCGTAAGTCATAACATGAAAATTTGGAAAGTTTTTTGTAACTTGCATTAATTAGTGTTGGACTCGGGCCGGGCCAACCGGCCCAGAACCGGACCGGCCCGCTACTGTGCGGGCCCGGTTCGGGCCAACCGGCCCGGTGGGATGGAGGTTCGGACTCGGGCCCTTCAAAAGGTGAACCGGCCCGGCCGGTTCGGGCCCGGGCCGGGCCAATTTTTTTTTAAGTTTTTGGGTTGGGCTGGGTATTTTGGGCCATTTGAGGTGGTTAGGATTGGTTTGAGGGTGAGGGGGAGGGTTGGGGGTTAACTAGGAAAAGCCAAAAAAAAAAAATAGAACCGAGACCCGGCCCGGACCCGGGGGTTACCCGGACCGGTTCCGGGCCTCCCCTTCTTGAACCAAGGCCCGGCCGGGCCCAGGCCCGAACCGGGCCTGAACCGGAACCGGTCCATGCCTAGCATTAATAACCGATGCTAACACTATCAAAATAAAAGTAACAATAAGCATAACTATACTTAACTTAACAATTAAGCAGTACCCCATTGGCACATTGCTAAAATGTAATCTTTAGTAGTTTTAGTTGAGGGAAATATTTTCTCTCACGGTCAGTCTCTAACTAGAGACCTACCCAAGCCACACACTACACCTCCCCGGATTTAAGGTGAATAATCCAATTAGTTGCAAAATACAAACACTTGCAACGAGGTTTGATAGTTTGAGGCAGACAAGCACAAAACATGAAGGCACTTTGAAAAGCCAACAAATCTTAGCTCAGTACATTTCCTATCATCTTTTAGGTTTTGCAATAGCGTTCATTCAACATAAATGAAAGGTGGTGTATACATTTGTTTGTTTACAAACACATCACGGCATATCCAGGGTTAAGAATACATGAACCTCAACAAACAGTGCTCGCGGTACGGAAGGAAGCTTCACCACCAAGGATGGACCTTACATGCAAAACTTCTTTTTCTGCATTACAGTATGGAAAACACGTGAGATTAAAAAAACAATCTCATTGCCAAGACCATAAGCTTAACACAAAGAAAGATAATGAAAAAAGTTAGCCAAAGTGGTAACATACACGAAACTTGGCTTCTTCTTGTCTGTCAATGTAGGCAAGAAGTTCTTCTTGCCTCATCAAAGCTTCATACAAAGCCTATCCAACAAAAAGGATTTTAGCACTTCATATATAGATTATCACTAATTGCTGTGGGGGTGGGGGGGGGGGGGGGGGTACATAATGCTACCTTTATCCCATATTGGATGTCTTGTTTTAGTTTGTCATGATTATTAATAAAGTGGTTGAAAATAAAAGTTGGGATTGAGATTTGAGTGGAATAAGGAGAAATAATATGAACCACATATTTGTTACCAAAAAGGAAACATGAAGTTCATTTTGGGACAACCCAAAAAGGAAAGGAAGACAAACAAAATGGGACAGAGGGAGTAACTTTTACTTAACAAACTCCCTAGAGAATCATTACTCTCTGAGGTGGCATGTTCACTTTCTCCTTTCTGTGTTAAAGTAACATCCAAGGGTTTGTTTGGATCTCCAAAAATGCCAGTGAAAGAGTAAAAAGTCCAGGGAAGTAATTTTCTTATGTTTGGTTTTACCTTGGAATGTGTCGGAGGAAACGAAATATGATTAATTATGTTTTATACTCTGTATAAATTACATGTACTTAATTTCTTAGTCTATTTTTTCAATAATTATCCAAAATAAACTTATTGAGGTTGAGTCACTCTTTTATTTTCCTCTTGATTTTCTGTCTTTCCTATCGTATCTATTTACGCCAACTTCCCTCTCTGGAATTTTCTGTGTTCCAAATGGACCCTCAGAGTCAGATTATGCATTAATATCACAAGGAAAACTCATTTACCTTTTTTGTTGCAATTAACTCAGCTTCTAATGCATCCACTCGGCAGACGGCTGCATTCAACAACTCCTCTTTTTCATAAGGCATCTCAGACGGCTTTTCTTGAAGAGTGTTGACTCTTTCCTCAAGCTGACCCAACCGCTTCAGTACAGTGGAGAGTAATTCAGTTTCTGTTGGTGTTGGCATTGTCACGGGAGGAGGCTGAATGGGTTCCTTTTCAGAAGCATCAGCTTGGTAGTTTGGCATAGAGGATGATGCATCTGGGAGTTTCTTGGTTACACGGAACGCAAAGGAATGCATGAACATAAAGATGGTTGTGAAGTAAGCCAATATAGCAAATAAAACCCTAGTGAAAAGTCCTTCTGTTGTCTTTTCAGAGTCAGGCAGTGGAGGTATCCCTGAGTGGAGGTACATGTCATAATCATCACAAAAGTATAAAACTAAAATAGTATATAATGTGAAACGGAGCCATAAATGGCCATAGAAAAGATAATAACCATTATATTTTTTTGGAGGAGCTATTATAATGATTATTAATAGGTAAGAATGTAAGATTAATTCAAGTACCCCAAACTATGGGGATGTTTTAACTTAACACCCCAACATTCAATACGTGAAATAAATATTCTGAACTTTAAGTTACTTTTGATCTCAGCATTATTGACATAGATTTTTCTTTAAAAATGTAAGTTTAGAAGGTTAAGCGCGCAATTTAAATACATCGAACATGTTAAAGTGAGCACTTAGTATCCTGAACTGACATTTGTGAATTAAAAAACTATCCCTGGATGGTGTTGAGATCACTTATTATATAAAGTTCAAATTATATCACAAATTGAAGTACAGAATACTGATTTATACATGTTCATAGTTTGTGGTATTTAAATAAATTTCCCCGCATTATTAGTCAAATTTACTACCCTTAGGTAAGAGGTATTTCTTTTCTCTCTTTTCTCTCTTTTCTCTCTCTCCTTTTCTGTTATCCTTTATGTTCTTTATGCTTCTGTGTTAAGCAAAATGGCTCAGTAAACTGTCTACACTTCTTTATCTTTCATGGAATAAAGCAAAATGGCTCACTAAACTGTCCGCACTTCTTTGTTATGAAGAAGCAATTAGGCCATGCAATTTTCGACGCGATTTTCATCCAGAAACAGTCGAAACAGTCTCTATGTACAGGGGTAAGGCTGCGTACATCTGACCCCCTTACCCACCGTAGGGGTAATGTTGTGGTCGTTTATCTTCTATGTTCTTGTGTTATTTTTATCTTTTATCTCTCTTATGTTCTTTTATCTTTTATCTTTATTATGTTCTTATGTTATTTTTATCTTATATTTATCTTTATCTTATCCATTTTATCTTACTTTATTTTTTTATTTTTCCTATCTTTCTTTTTTTTGGCTCAAATATCATGAATCGATTCATGTTAGCCGACCCCAAAATCTTTTGGGAATAAGGCTTGGATGTTGATGTTGTAGGTACGAGGTATTTCTTAAATGACCCTCTCATGTGCAATTGAGAGGTCCTTCTAAGAAAAGAAATAACTTAACAAATAGACTGTATTTATATGTACATATCAATACAGACTAATTTTTCTTAGCTTGTTGAGTAGTCAAGGGAGAAAAAATAAGCAGTGTGTGTGCTATATTGTAACCTTTAGGAGAGCTTGGGTTTTTAAAAGCTTCTTGCTTCTTCCATCCAGAATCAACAGCCTTGTCAACTATAGGAACATATTCATCATATGCTAGCGATTTGTTAGGATGATTAATTGGCCCAATGGTCTTTGCCTGTTTCTAAACACAAGTACAATGAAAGACGGGGAATTGTCAAATGAGAGAAATTAAGAAACATGTATTGTAATATTTGCTTACAGAATAATACTACGTAATACTATAAAAAAATACCTCTTCGCGAACAGGAGTTAAACGAAGATGTGGATAATTTTTGAAAGCTTTTGGTGAAGCAATTTCGTCAGCTTCAGATCCCGATTCAGCTGTAGACGTGTCACTAAATTTTACCTGGTGTGAAAAGATAAAAACATGGTAAATTTGATTCAAGTGTGACATGTCAAACAATTAAAAAATAAAGACTTAAGATTCCATACTGAAAGATCAGCCTAATAAGAGTACTACCCCAACACCTTGTATGATGAATGTAAGTGTGAGATGACTTCACATGTCACACAAGATGGTGTCTCATTGGAGTATACTAAACTTCAAATCAGTTTGATTTTTGACTCTTGGTCGGATTGCTTACTAGTTAGAACTTAATTGAATCTAATATCATATTAAAACTTACAAATTTCATCTTAAATCAACCGAAGAGGAAGACTAGCCTAAAATCTTATACGTTTGTTTTATCCTTGTTTTTGACCGGTGTAAGATGTCCATACAATGTAATCTATAAAAAATATAAGACATACCATTGGGTAGCGAGGTTTTGCATAAACCACCTTTCCTTCACTGTTCAAAACTTTAACAATCTGTTTACAACGACGTGCTTCACCAACCATCTAGCATCAAAGGCACAACTATTATGTTCACATTAACAAAAAATGATGAATGGGGGCATGAAAATAACTTTCAACACAAATGCTCATACCTTCAGTATATGAGGGTTCTTCCAAGGCCCTTTATCAGAACGAAGACACCCTCCCTCATCTGCACAAGTGCAGGTACCACCTAGAAACTCAGGCAGCTCACTGCACAACAGTTAGAATGAATATCATCACACACAAGAACAGCCTCACAGAAAGAAAAAGCAATAAAAGTTACATTACAAATAGGAAAGAACTGATCACCCTCACCTAGCATCTATTAATTCAAGCAGCTTGTTCAAGTACTTGTTCCCAAGAACCTGAAAAAGGAGAATAGTGCTTCATCATCACTCAAAGGGACCTTAATTTCAATGGTATTGTCAATTAACTGTCAAAAATAGAAATCACTACACTTGAATGCAAAAAAATCATAGTAGAAATGTTTATCCAAACATCCTTCTTATCCAACCATATTACAAAAGAATAATGAGATGGAATTCAAAAAACATCATCATAATTCATAAGTTTTCCCCACAGAGATGAAAAGAAATGGTGATGAATTGATAACTCGCTATAGGTACTAAAATAATGAAAACAATTGATCAAAATAAAAGTAATGGACAATGTACCGACCACGTAGTATTTTTTGTCCACAATTCTATTTTACTACTCCACCCGCCCCAGAATCATGGGCGGAGCTAGGGGTGGGCCAACCTAGGCCATGACCCACCCCAAATTTTAAAAATGGCTTAATTTTTAAGGTAAAAAATTTTATGTAAATTTTTTTCTAAAAATATTCTTTGTACCGGTCCAGTCCGGCCCGGCCCAGTGCCCTGGCTCCGCCCCTGGGCCAGAATGTAAGATACATTTGTGTTTGGCTAGCTCTTTAAGAAAATAAAGGATTTGGTTGTTGTTTTACAATTATAACCTTCAAAATGTAAGAAGAAGAAGTATGAGTCCACACAAACTAAAAATTGAAATGATAGATACAGGGATAAAGTTGGAAAGTAAAAAGTTAGTGGCAGTTAATTTAGGAAAGTGTTCATTTTTTGGGACAACCAAAAAAGGGAAGTGCATTTTACAAAATGAAAATGAGAGAGTAAAATAATAGGAAAAAGCCTAATTACTATAGTTATGTCCCATTGCATGCTTGACATTTTAAATAAACATGCACATCATGGAAAAGCAGGTAAAGTGAGTTCTAATGCAAAATAGTTATAAGCCAAATTAGAAACAGAACATTCCAATGACAAACAACATTACTGGAAAATAAAATCAGCATACATGGATCTTGGAAGTAGTCTTGGGATCTAGAAAGCTCTTTATAGTACTCCATAGCATCCTAAATCCAGGACCAGCATTGATGATGAACATTTGATGGAGTGTCTATCATGGGCAAACAACAAAATCATTATGATGCCCAAAGTTGGATCATGACACTCATACTACAAGCCAAACAAGGAATACTGACAGACATACTTCAGGATAATTATCCCCGTCAATTTTTTGAAGACGCATAATGAGCTCTCTAGCACTCTTGTTAAAGTTTTTCAACCCCTGTACAATTAACAAGTATCAATAATATTATAGTTATCTTTACTATTAATATTACTATTATTACTATCATTTGGGGGTGAAAAAGAGAAGGCAAACACAACCTACCACGCCTTGAACATCCAAAATTGTAGTGCTTGAATCGATGTGTCTTTTTGCAGCAATTGTGCAAGCAGGAAACTTAATGGCAAAGCACTTCTCAAACTCTCTTACATGATATTTTACATATCGGTCTAGAGTCGTGACTTGCATAAGTTTGTTAGGATCAACTTTCCCTAACCTTTCAATATATACTGGCCTTCCCTCTTTATCAATGCCATGGTAACCTTGAGGGTAATAGTTCAAAACTTCATCCAGCTCTTTAAATTCAAATTCCTGATGAATATCAGCCCAAGTAAACTTCAGATAAACAAACTTTAACCAAAATGCTACTCCCTCTACCCTTGAATTATTTACATACTTTCCTTTTTCGTCTTTCCCAAAATTATTGCTTATTTTCATTTGCAAGAACTCGAGAAGCGTTATGTATTGCACAATATTTCGCTCTCTTCTGCTTAAATCTCAACCTTACAGTTCCAATTTTCACTATCTTACACTTTGAGCCCAGTCGAATTGGGCAATACTTTAAGGACAGAGGGAGTAATCAGTGCAGAGCCAAAGCATTAAACAGTGTAAAGTCATCTACCTGAATGATATTATCAGCACCGAATTCCCTTCTCCACTGAATCATATCAGCCCACATACTCTTGGCTTTCTCACTGTCAAATTTCCTTGCTTTCAAAAACCTGGAGCAACCGATGAAGAGCAGAGATGAGTCTCACTAGAAACTGATAACTGATTGTTTCACATCATATGTAGAGATACATTTCTACTATATTTGCATGTTTTCCTACACATATATATATATATATATATATATATATATATATGTATATATATATATATATATGTATATATATATATGTATATATATATATATATATGTATATATATATATGTATATATATATATGTATATATATATATGTATGTATCAAGGTACCAAGTACTTTATCTACTTATGAGTATTTTTATAGACAAGATATCATAGAATATAGAGTTGATGACGAATATAAGTCTATATGCAACATAAATGTACCATTCTTGTTTACAAACAAATACTCCATCTGTTCACTTTTACATGCTTCACTTTCATTTAATGGACGTTTATTATCACTTGCTCCACGTCCCATTGTTGGCAACTTTTTCTACTTTTTTGTCTCTAGAAGACGATATCCTTACTTTTTCATCTTAGCTTCCCAATTATCCTAGTTCTATATGTTCTCTTTCCTGTTTTTTCATTTTTTCCTGCACGATTCACTACCCTACAGTTTAACTCTGCATTTTCCCTGAAAAACTGGAGCAAGTAATCCAATAAAAAATGTTGAGGACCAAATGGTGTAACAGTGTATAATCGAGGGGCCAGATCGAGTATTAACCCATAAATTTACATAAATTAGTTATGGACGACGTAATACCTTAACATCATATAATAATCATCATGCTGCTCTGGAAGCAATTCATCCAAAATCAAAGCTTGCCTAAATGCATCAACGGCCTGGAGTTCATCGGCATCTCGAATATCTTCGATTGAGACAGAGCTGACTCGCCCATCACTCTTCCTTCTGCTGCTCTTCTTCTTGAGAGAGTGTTTGAATTTTGTTGATGCATGCAGTGCTTTCTTTTTGAAGGAACCGATTCTTGTTTTCCTGTCATCCTCGGAGTTCTCAACATCAGATCTTCTTTCTCTTCTCTCATCACTTCCGGAAGAGCCCTCAAAGCCTATCACAAATTCACAAGTAACCAATTGCTTAAGTGACCTTTTTTTAAGGTACCTAGAAACACTTCTTCATAAATCAACATATTTACACGTTAACGTATAAATGCAGAGGGGGGATAACTGGATAAGCAGTGACCTTCTAAAGGCACCATTAATGCATGGACATTCATGAGCTAAAGCACTAAACATATGGAACTCTTATTCTCATTAATGTTGATTTTGAAGTCCATTATTTTTTAATTGATCACTTTTCTTTTGTCCAAAATTAAAAGAAAGAAAAACAGGAACAATTAATTGACCAGGTCTACGACTTCCTAGCTGCTATGCAGCACCAGATCCGAAAAACAATGAGTATTCCCAGAAAGATCAATAATTGCAACAATACCATGTCCACATTTAATGAACAGAGCCTCAATAAGTAGTTTTTCCCACCCTCGCCCCTCCCCCCAACCCTATTTCTGCAGGGCACAACTTGTTATAAAAAACCAAGAATATCTATGGGTAATGCCATTGAAAATCGCCAGAAAGAAATCGAGTAAAGGGAAACTCACAAGGCCTTGCAAGCCGATCCAGAGGTCCAGACATGTCCGTCGCTGGTCAAGAAATGGACAAGAAAAATCGGATCTTTTGACCTAATTGCGGCGTGACGATGATTAATGACCTCTAATAGAAACAAGAAATCTAGTATTCCATTCCAGAGGCAGAATATAACAAAGATTCAGTAGGATATAGATAGGCTGCAGAGCTGAGATGCTAAGAGATTAGCTTTAGGAGATAGATATTGATCGGGCGGCTATAAATGAGCCTTAAAAGTAACGCAGGAAGAAGGGTGAAAAAGGGAGGAATGGAAATCAATAATGATGAGGGAAAGCACATAAAGCCAAGCATGATCGCCGTTAAAACGGCGTTAAAAACTACGGCTCGCCGGACGGAGTGTCGGCCGCATGATAGGGGAAGGGGAAGAAAAAGACAAGTCTGAGGACAAGAAAGTTGAAGTTAATTTCGAGCTGTCGAATAACATGTGGCGTAGGGGCATAGTGTGGGCCCCTGTCTCGGGGCTAATAAAAGCTTGAGACAGTCCTTTTTAGTCCTCAAAAGATTAACCATTTTGATTGTTTGTGAATTGTGCTACCTCTTCTTCTTTGACCGCGTGGGAAAGAAACAGAGAAAAAAAAAAAAAGGATGACCGCGTGGGAAAGAAACAGAGAAAGTTTTACTGCTTGGGGTGCAATTTTTTCTAAAACAATCAAATAAGCTCCCAAATTTTCATAAAGCGTTCAAATGAGTCTTTTTATAGGAAGCTTTGATCGGATGTCGCCATTTGGAGCGGTTTCCGGTGAAATTTTTTGATGAATTTTTTTGAACATCTTCTTTATTAAGTCTAGTTTATTCATACCAAATTTCAGCTAAAAAATCAATCGAGAAAGCAGTCAAATGATTTTCTGAAATATATTGCGTTGCCTAACTGCGCAGTTATCTTCAAAAATTCATTTGACTGCATTCCCGATTGAATGTTTAGCTGAAATTTGGTATGAGTAAACTAGACTTAATGAATAAGATGCTAAAAAGTTTCATAAAAAAATTCCACCATAAACCGCCCCAAATGGCGACGACCGGACAAAACCTCCTATAAAAGGGCTTATTAGCACTTTTATGAAAGTTCAAGGGCTTATTTGATAGTTATCCCCTTTTTTAATGTTTTTTGGTTTTGTTTTGTAATGTTGGAGTTTTTTTCTAGAATAATGCTAAATAAAAAACTATTTACAAAACTAGGGTCGAGTTAAAACTATTTATCAAAATACTGCCGGAATAAATTAGGGTCAGAGAAAGCCGTCAAACCATTTGACGACTCTCTAAATAATACGGAGTACGCAGGAAGTGCATACAAGGGAAGCAAGCTTAGCTGGGAGGCTAACACGTATGGAAAGAGGTGGGAGGCTAACAAGCTTGCTTCGCTTGTGCGCACTTCCTCTCTACTACGTACGAGTATTATTTAGAGAGTCGCCAAATCCTTTGGCGGCTTTCTCCGACCCTAGTTTATCCCAGCGGTATTTTGGTAAATAGTTTTAATTCGACCTTATTTTCGTAAATATTTTTTTATTTAGCATTATTCTAGAAAAAAACTCGTAATGTTCTTAGATTTTATGGGATAACCCAACATTCAATTATATTTTGCAAATTTCTTTATTAAGGTATCTTAAAACACTACTTATTTTCCGTTTAAAGTAATTAAATTATTGTCCTTATTATTTATATTTACCTTCTTTAACCTTTAAACATGCAATTTTTAGGGCATGTTTACTAACAAAGATATTTTCTAGTTTTCTATTTCTGTTTTTCGTTCTCCAATTTTCTGTTTTCGTTTTTCAGTTTTTCTATATCCAATTTTTTGTTTTCACTTTTTAGTTTTCCATTTTCAAATATGAAAACATGTTCATACAATTTTTTCACACAGTTCTCTAATTGAACAAAAGACCGAAAGTACGATCCCAGTCCGGAACCGAACCTAGTACAACCCAAGTAGGGTACTGGGTCCCACATATAGGAAAGTCGGATTCGAAATCGGCTGGTCCCGATCGATCTCAACACTTAGTTTGATAAATTCTTTTCTCATTTCCCTATTGGTTGACAACTCAATGGCTCTTTTAAAACTCTTCACTTTAAAAAATGATTTCGAAAAACCGAGACTGAATCGTCAGGTCATTGATCGGCCCTAATAGGGACCGCCAGGTCGTTTACGGGACTGACCCGAGAGCGCCCGGTTATCGATCGGACCAAACATAAACCGTCGGGTCATTTGCTAGATAGGATGAGAACTGTCGGGTTATTGATCGGACCAGACGGGGACCGCCGAGTCATTGACTTGACCGAACTCCGAACGGGTCTGCCCGTCAGTCGATCAGACCGAACAAGTACCGTCTAGTCGTGGATCGGACATGACAGGGACCGTCGGGTCATCGATCGGACCGGACAGGGACCGTCGGGTCGTGAACCAGAACGGACAGGGATCGTCAGGTCATGGACCGAACCAGATAGGGATCGTCAGGTCGTGGACCGGACCAGACCGGGCAGGGACCGCCGGTTCGTCGACTGAACCGGGACCGTCGGGTCATCGACCGGACCGGGACCGTCGGGTCGTCGACCGGACCGGGACCGTCAGATCATTGAACCACCAGGTCAATGACCGGACCGTCAGGTTGTTGGCCGGACCAGATAGGGACCGTCGGGTCATTGACCGGATGGGATTGGAACAAACACCGGAGCGAGACTGGATCCAACAATAGGCATAAGTATGCAAATTTATTGCAGCAGCACTGCAACATCCGTGTTTTCCAAATTTGGAAAACTAGTAAAAGTCACTTCTCCAATTCTTTAAGGAAAACAAAGACATACTCCCTCCGTCCCATAAAATAAGTCCCATTTCAATTTGGATCAGAGTTTAAGAAAGTGGGAATAAAGTGGAAATGTATGGTTGTGGTTGAGTAAGAAAAAAGTAAATGAATGTTAGCCACCCAAAACTTTCCAAAAAGGGAAATGGGAACAATTTTTTGGGACGGCCCAAAAAGGAAAATGAGACTTATTTTATGGGACGGAGGGAGTATATCATTTTTTGGTTTTGGAAAACGACTTGGTAAACACAAGTTTCTGTCTTCCTTTCTCCAGTTTTCTAGAATTTTTTTTGGTAAACATGTTTTATGTTTTATGTTTTCCAGTTTTCCAGTTTTTTGAAAAACTGGAAAATATCTCTGTTAGTAAACAGGCCTTTAGTTTCTAACTTTTAATTTCACATCTCACGCAAACTTTACCAACTTCTAACAAAACAAACAAAGTAATATAATTATAAAAGTATATAAAAAGTAGAGAACATATTATTGTCTCATTGTATATTTCTAAAACAATTAAATGTTATATTAAGATCTTGAATCACCCACTTTATTAGGTTGACCTTTTACGATTGAACATCAAGTCTTAATAGAAAACACAAGATCAATATGTATTTTTTTATTAAAACATACTACCTTCATCTCATATTGGTTTTTTTGTTTTAGTTTGACACAATTATTAGTAAAATGGTTGAAAAATAAAAAAAATTGTTATTGAGATTTGAGTAGAATAAGGTGAAATGATATAGATCACATGCATTTTTCTTACCAAAAGAGAAAATAAAGACATTCATGTTGGGACAACCCAAAAAGAAAAGTAAGATAATCAAAATGAAAGGTAGAGAGTATTAGTGGCAATTTGTATGGTACATCTGGGTGTATTTGTACACCCGAAATTTTTGTAATATAATACTATGTACAAATTTAATGGCAAAGACTATGTAGTTTCTTGCTCCTAGTTGCTTTACGTAATTTACTATTTAGCTTCTACGTACGTTGTGGGTTGACTCAGTGCACCCTTTCCTTACTTTTTGTTTCTTCTCCTTTCCTTCCTTTTATTTCTTCTCTTTTACTTCTTTTTCAGTTTATATAAAAAAAATAATTTACTTCGGGTGAATTTCCTTCCTTTTTATGTACAAATGGGATGATAATTTGATTAAAATATCTATCCCTCTTTCATTATTAATACTTCGGAATTTTTAAATTACGGAGTATTTCCTAAATATTGAATGCTCATCAACTGTTTGAAAAATTCCAAAGTGAATGTTCATTCTTATCTTGATGACTTATTTTATTGTTTGATGCATTTGTATAAAAACTACTAATCATAAATAAAATTTATTAATATTTCTCATTATAAAATATACTCATGATGGAATAAATGAATTAATCATATTAAGGCTATTTGCAAAAATATACCTTTGAATGAGTTTTATCTTATACTCCATTGAGTATAATGTTTACATGGAATGTGAATTGATATAATGTTTTTAAATGAGTACTCATGGAGGCTATTAAAATGAGTGTTGTGTTATACGGCAATGAGTATAACGTTTGAAAGTAAATGCACATTGATGTAACATTAATGAATATTTGAGCACATTGGAGATTTAAAATGAGCTTTTGAAATTTTCGATGCTCATTTTGTAAATTGTGTATACTCATTCGGTAATGGTTTTATGGTCATTTTAAAATGTAATATCAATGTCGATGAAACTCATGCAACTAGAATGAAGCTTGCTCACGTATTTTCAACATGTACTCAATAGTAGAAATGAGCATAGACAAATGAGGATTTGAGCACATAAACAATTTCAAATGACGTTTTGAATTTTTCGATACTGGGGCAAGATTCTCGGGTTTAATTGAGAGTGTTAAGGGCGCAACGAGGACGTTGCGATCCTAAGTGGGGGTGATTGTAATACCCGAGATTAATTTAAGAGGATTAATAGTACTACTCATAGCTTTTAAGGGAGCTCATCACTCAAGAACTCCAAAGTTAAGCCTGCTTGCATGAGAGTAGTCTTGGGATGGGTGACCCCATGGAAAGTTTCTCAAGGCGCGCGCGAGTGAGGACAAAGTGCGCGATAAAGGCTCTCGGTGGTTTGTAAGGACAGTACTAGAGGTCAGAAGTAACTAACTCGGGCCCTGCAGGGCCGAGGTGTTACACAACCGCCGACCAACGCGGACGCCCGGTGAGCGGGGATGCCAGCCCGTCCCATCGCATCTAGGAAACAAGTGTCGGCCAACGCGGACGCCTAGCCACCTAGAGTTATGGCTACGCCGGTCGGCAGGGGGTGGCTGATAGCCTCCTTACCGACGTCGGCAGCCACCAGAATTCAAGAGCAACCCAACCTCCTGGGCGACGCCGGCCGTTGGGGAAGAAGGCCTGGGGGATGCCGTACGGCGGAGGAGTTGACGGGTTGGCTACCTGAGAGAAGGTTTCCATCTGACTTGGGGGGCCGTCGGGCTACCAGTCCGTCTGAGAGAAGGACACTATGCCGGCCAGAAGTGGATCGAACGACTGCCAGATTGCGCCGCCCAACATGGAAGCCTAGGCCAGCCGGCCGGCCAGATTCGTTGGACTGTAGGGCAATGCCGGCCACCGGCGCTTAGCACAGGACGGCCGCCTGGAGCGGCAGGGAAACCCAGTGGAGCCACCAGGCAACGGTCAACCCATTCAATAGGAGGACTGCTGCGCTGGGGCGGCTTGGAGAAGACAACGCACGCAGGGGTTTCCAGGAGAGAGAGAAAAAATAAAAGAAAGGAAGGAAAAGAAAAGACAAGAAAGAAAAGAAAAAAGGAGAGACAAAATAAATTCCGAAAATTATTTATAAAACAATAATAATGAGTTTCAGAAATTTTTGGGAGCTGACCTAGATTCTGAAGTCTGGGAGAAAGCTGAATGCTGGAATGCCGAATGAATTAATTTGAAAATCTTCACAAAATTGTGGGATAGACAGAATCCACAATTATGGCTCCCTAGTATTTGAATATTTTTTAAATTGGCAGGTCACTTGAACTACTCCCTCTTAGCCGAGTCTACTACTCGACTAAGGGAATGGGGGACTCGTGATGGGGTTACACGATTCGGCCCAGAGCCTAATTGGCCCAGGCCCCGAACTTGGACCAGCAGGCCTATGCCCAGCGACCCAGAGCTCGAACCGGCCCAACCAATCAGGCCCATCAAGGAGTGAAAGCCCAAGACGGTCTGCCTTCTAGCCCGGTCAGGAGCCTGCCTTCAAGCCCAGCCAGGAGCCTGCCTCCAGCCCAGCGGGAAGCCTGCCTTCCAGCCCAGTCAGGAGCCTGCCTCCAGCCCGACAAGGTGCCTGCATTCCAGCCGAGCCAGAAGCCTGCTTCCAGCCTGGTGGGGAGCCTGCCTTCCAGCCCAACCAGGAGCCTGCCGTCCAGCCCAGCCAGGAGCCAACCTTCCAGCCCGACCAACAGCCTGCCTCCAGCCCAGCAGCGAGCTTGCTTTCCAGTCCAGGTGGGAGCCTGCCTTCCAACCCGGCCAGAGCCTGCCTCCAGCCTAACGGGGAGCCTGCCTTCCGGCCCAACCAGAAGCCTGCCTCCAGCCCGGCTAGAAGCCTTTCTCCAGCCCAACGGGGAGCCCACCATCCAATCCAGCAGGAGGGAGCTCAAGCGTCCGGCCAGCCAGCCAGGAACAGTAACGGCCAGAGCAATTAATGCGTGACTTAGTTATGTATTTAATTCCGTATCAATGTTGTAATTAATTAGCCATTAGTATCGTTGACAGTTACCATTTGTAATCGCCTATAAAAGGCAAGTCTGATTCAAATAATATATAAGTTATTCTTGGCAAATAAACTTCCCTTAGCAACTTTCCTTATTCGTATTATATTCTTGATTCCTGCTTGAGTATCATTACGTAGCTTTCCTAAAAGCCTACGAGCGTCCTATTTTGGACCAACACATCTGTATGCACAACTGACATAGGTGAAATAAGTGGAACATAAGGAACTAAATCCATCGTAGGATTTGTAGAACCCAAAGCAGGATCTGTGGGCGACAACTACATAAATGAAATTGAATATCAACACCAATATAAGATGAGAAACAAAAACTAATGAATAATAAAAATAAGTTTAATACCTTGACACTTTTAAATTTTGAAACAAGGGAATCCAATTCAGCATAAAAAGATTCATCATTAACAGCATCATTACAAGGAGAAGTTGGTTGTTGATCCATTGATTGATTTTCAACACACATCATATCAACAACAATATGAAAAGTCATCTTTTAGTAATGCTCCAACAACATAGAATCATGCTCAATGTGATGCATATCAGTAAAAGTAGAAAGAACAACATTCTGAACAAAATCCATCAACATACAATCATTCTCATTCGACATGGAAGTAGTAACAGTTGAAAAAACTATATTGTTGATGAAATGCAATAAAAAATCAAAATATTCAGAAGAAACTATAGTTGCAACACTAGCGGACACCAACTCCTGTAAAAAAGTAAAGTTAAAAAAATGATAAGAACCATACATCACACAATGAAACAGAATAAAACTATATAAAACAAAACGAAACAAATAAATACAAAACCCGTTGAGTATCTATGGCATTTGCAATAGGATAAGTAGAAATTATTGGCTGATGTAACAGACCACAGTCAAGATCAACATTCACAATATCATCAGTAGAAACAAAGCAAGAGTCAATCTCATGATCAGAAAAAAGATTTGTAGCATCATCCTCAGAAAAACTGATTCGAACAACTAAATCTTGTATAATAGGATTTTGGTGTGAAGATACAAAACCTAAAGCAGGTTGCTTAGAAGATTGAAAATCAGAAAGTGATAAACACGCTCAATTCAAGCTTCTGTTCTAAAACATTAAACTTGCCCTGAACAAATTCCTCAAAATCAGCAAGTTTAGTGTCTAGGCATTTTTCAAAGTCCAATAGACCAGAGCTTGAGCGAGCAGTGCCAGAAGAAATACTAGGTCCCTCCCCATCATTTGAAGCAGAAGACATACTTTGGGTCCTTAACACATGAGCAACAAACAAAGCATTCAATTCACGGGAATCTTTTTCAACCTCAGTAAGAACAACATTGTGCAACTTCAACTGGATAATAGAAACATAAAGAGAAAATATTGAAAATGAAATACAAGGTTAATAAAAACCATAAAAACAAGGAAAATAAGTTTTAGAAATACCTGAGAAGCAGATAAACAAAGAAGTCTCATATTCAACTTCTTGTAAGTGAGTGAAACAGAAGAGCGCCAAGAAAGTATACGGGGAATTAGAGAACCCGATCTTGAAGCAAAAACGCCATCACGGTAATCACAACACTCATAAAACCACACTTGAAGAGCTAAAGGAAATCCCAAAATACGGTAAAAGAAATAATCACTTTCTTTAGTATCCGCTTTGACGAGTCTTCCCTTCAAATTTTGTAAAGTGATACCAAAAAGGTCCTTCCCCCAAGGATAGGAATCCCATAAACCAACATTCAAAACAACAAGATCAGTTTCACTAATAAACTTTTCCTTAGATGAAGTAAAGAAGAACAAACCAAGAACATATAGAATTGCAATCTTAACAACATCTTCATCACACTCCGCATTTTGACCAAGAAAACAATTTTCAATTGCTTCACGACTAAATTCAGAACAATTGTTGAAATATTTTTTGATGAGGTCATCGGTGTCTGATAAAGTAGCAGTAGAAGCATAAAACTCACCAGCACATTTTGAACCAGTAACAACAACAGATTCAACAATGGAGAACCGCAAACGAACCCAGAAACTTCAAATCAGATCTCATTTGGAAGATTGCGACTAATTTCTCATAAGAGCAAACAATGAACAAGTTGAGGCTGAAATTTAAGGTCTTGAAAATCAAGGAGTTTAGCAAACCAAGTTTCCCTAAATAAACTCAAATGTAGTTCAGTCAATTTGGCCTTGAGATTAGATGTAATGGAATCTTTGTTTAAGCTACAAACCCTACTGTTAAACCATGATTCACATGGAATAAAATACTCCCATTCCTGGAGTACAAAAATAATCAAAACAAAAATAAATCAACAAAATTAAACAAAAACAAATTGAAACAAATGAAACAAGAAATTCAATGTGCAAAATAGAATAATCATCTAAATATACCAATACAGTAAGAAATTACCTTAAATGGCGCAGTTTTTTTTTTAATTTTGGCCTCATTGACAAAGATCTTAGACTTTTCCCGTTGTGCATTAATAGAGACTTTAGCCTTCTTCCTCCCAGCCTTCAGAGCATTATCGTTTTTTCTCTTCTTACCAATGACATTAGCACTTATAGTTCGAGCAGAGGAAGACGAAAAACTGTGAGCCTCAGAATTACTTCCATTATTATTCAATGCACCAAAGGCTCTGGTAGTACGACGAGGAGTATTTGCACTTGACATAGTTAACACAGGATTGAAGAAAGTCAAGAAACGATATACACTGAAAAAGCAGAGGATGAAGAAATCGGAGAAGAAATGCAAACGAGAGAAGTTCACATAAGAAGTCGAAGAAGAGAACGAAAAGCGGGAAAGAGAAAAAATAAAGTGCAATGGAAGGAAGTTTGTAGAGCGTGGAGGAGGTTGGAAGAAACGGTCTAAAACTGAAATAAAAAAAAACAAAATTGAAAACATAAAAGTTTAGAAGTGAAAAGGAAAAATAGTTAAGACATTAATGATATATGGGCCACAACAATAGCCCGAACAGGTAATTTCCACTTCTTTTTGTTATAGTTTAACAAAATATTGCTTTAGTGGTATAAAATCGGGCCATAAATATGACAGGTCATACATAACTAGCACGAAGTAATATATATTATAGCTAGTAATATAGATTGATTATACTGTCTCTAATATTGTTCTTTATTAATTTCCTCACTAGGTATTTCACTGGTTTTAAGAAAAACTAGCAGGGGTAATATAGAACTATAGAAGGATGTAGGCTAAATGAAATAAAAAAGAAAATAGTATATTAGAAAGATAAATGTAATACAAATTAGGAAAGAGAAAATAGTTTGTAAAAAATAAAAAATTAAAGGTAATAAAATTGAGTGTCTAAAAGAATTTTGATTGGAAAACTTACAAAAAAGGAAAAAAGAGACAAATAGTGAAAGATGTCCAAAAAAATATGAGAGAAATGATAATATACTTCACAGTGTTCATATATATATATATATATATATTTTTATACCCGGTAGGTCAACCACCAAAATCAGTGGGGTAGAAGCCGGGGAACATCTACCGAATTTTATAAAGATAAGAAAGGGAATACAAAGGAAAGGGGGACTAGGCCAAAACCTTTCCAGGGAAAATATCCTTCCCGAAAGTACATGAGAAACAAAAAGAACATACTAATGGGGGCTAAGCCCGACCCATTAGTAGAAAAAAGTCAAGGAAGCCCAAAAAAATATAAGCCCATATCAAAGGCTAATATCCACTTGCAAATTAGGAAAGGGCGAAGGAGATATTAGGAAACCCTAATATCCGGATAACCAACAGCGTCCAGGTGAAGAGCTCCCCAAATACGAGCGGGAAGATGAGCAGCGTGAAGATAGGTCATCTGAGTAGCTGATGAAGCAGATTCTCGAGCTAGCAAGTGCGCAACAACATTTGCCTCTCTGTAACAATGCTGGAAGGTGAAGCTTAGGTCAGAGGCAATTCGTATGATGGGAAGAGTAAGGTGACAGTAGCTGGGTGACCTTCGCGATTGGCAGAGAAGAGAGACTGCTGCAAGAGAGTCTGATTCAATCTCGACGTTATTGTAGCCCGCATCTTTCAACCAGTGAGTAGCTACAAAAATTGCATCTATGTCAACCTCCAAGACCGAGCGTGCCTGTAAAGGGAAAGAACCTGCGAAGACGAAGTTTCCAACTGCATCCCTGAGCACCGCACCACCTGAGGAGGATTTATTAGTAAAGGCAGCATCAACATTTAATTTGAAGGTACCCCTTGGCTTCTTCCAGTTAATTATAAGATATTTAGGAGCATGTGTGCCCTTGTTAATTGGACACAGACCTTCTTGGATAGTAAAATCAGGAGGAGGGTTGCCTTTAGGAAGGTCAAGACCACTGATCCAGTGATAAATATAAGTCTTAATTGTCCTCAGTAAAACTTGTGAACTAAATTTGGTAGGATCATCATCCCAGGTTTGAGAAGCATAGCATTTCCATATATGCCATAAAATTATTCCAGGGAGATTGTGCTTGTAAATATCAAAAGTCGTTTTAGAACCTGCTTCCAACCACCAAGAAAAGCAGACCTGTCGATATGAAACCTCCCTTGTAGGAATTGGAATAATAAAAAGACTAATAAAATATACCCAAATAGGCCTGACTTGAGGGCAGTTGTAGAAGATATGAGAGACAGTAATGGAAAGACCTTTACAAAAGGGGCATTGAGAGGGAAAAACACAGATGTTAAACTTGCTAAGATTCTCAGGGAGGGGTAGAATATTGTGAAAAAGCTTCCACATGAAAACTTTAATGGGGAGGAATTGTTTAGGATGCCAAATGTGTTTGTTGGAAAATGTGACTGATTTAGTGGCTCTGACTTCCTGAAATGCAGATGAAAGTGAGAAGCTACCATCCTTAGAAGGCTTCCAGATTGTAAAGCCATTTTGTGTCTCAACCAGATCAAGGCCTTGCTCATGGATATGACAGATGTTCTTTCAACAGTTGAATCACAGTGAGCTAGACAATTGTTGAATTCCTCCATGCTATCAAAGTTTGGAATTGAATTGCCTCTGTGTTCAACATGAGAAGTAATGGCATTAAAGTCCCCTCCAACAACCCAAGGGCTAGAATTATTTTCATACCAAGAAGTAAGAAAATCCCATAATTCTCTTCTTTCCCTAATGCTACATTTTCCATAAACTGATGTCAACCAAAAGGAGTGTGAAACCAATGATATCTGACAATGGACCAGCTGATCTGTATAACTAATCTGAGAGATTGAGAGAATAGATGAATTCCAAAAAAGCCAAATTTTACCATCTGGGTGAAAATAAGCATTAGAAAGACCAAGATTCCTCCTCATGTCTTCACCTCTAGACATATCTAACATAGGTTCAAGAACAACAACTAAATGTAAATCCCACTGCCTTATTAAGCTAGAGAGTCTTGGGCAGGAGGAAACAAGACCCCTAGTGTTCCAAAACAGACTATTCATAGAGACAATGGAAGAGGAGCTTGTGAAAGCCTCTTGGCAGCATGTCTGGTAAGGATGGAAGATGCCTCAGGTGGTATTCTGGGTTGTCTTTTCTTCCTGGCAACCTGTATAAATCCATCATTGGGATCATTGGGAATTTGTTTTGAATAGTTATCCACATTCTGAGAATCTGATTGATCACATGCTTCTATTTCCTTGACTATTAATGCTACTTTTTCCTGCAGGGAAGGTAGTTCATCTATCCAAATCTCCTTCTCAGATATGTGTGTGGGGCAATCTCCTTCTGTTGCATAGCCCTTATCTAGCAAAGAAGAGTCAAAGTCCAGACTGGTTTGGATCTGGTGTAGTTTGGAATCATGAGAGGGCCCTATTACTTCATTTTTCCTTGATGGAACCAAACCCGGTATCTCCATAAGAAGAAGTTGCTGAGTAGTATAGCCGGCTCTCTCATTTGTTCTGTTGCTGGGTAGCGTAGCAGTCTCCTCAGTATGTTCATTCATGACAGGTTCTGATGAAGGTCCTGCACCGGAAGAAAGTGCAAGATGGGGCTGCATTGCAAAGTCTGAGTCAATTTTTTTGATTATCCATTTCTGTAATAATCAGTCCCTTCCCCTTTTCCTGGGCTGTGTATTTGGGTGGTGCATGCGGGTTGTTATCTTGTATTTTGTTGGCCTTTGGCACCCAGGTCTCCTTTGGGAGAGAGTCCACGTTAATTTGCTCACGCTTAGGACATTTAGCCTCCAAATGTCCTAAATGAAGACAATGAGTACAATATAAAGGCCGGTTTTCATAGCACACTGGCTGTGAAAAACCAGACGAGCTGCAATTGATCCAAACTTTATTTGGCATTTCTTTAGTGAGATCCAATTCAACGCAAATACGAGCTACAGATGGCCTGGACAGGTTAGCCGTAGCTGTATCAAGCTTGAGTGGTGAACCAATTAAGCTGGCTATAGCAAACAGAGCTCCTTTATCGTGTAAATGTATGGGCAATCCCTCGAATGAAATCCAAACGGGAACCACAGGGGATTCCACATTTGGGTGAAAGTCAGGGGTCCATTTAGTAACCCTCATCGTGTAACCATAGATGTTCCAGGCCTGACGATTCCAACATCGTAGGTAGTCTTCCTCCATATCAAAGCGAATCAAAACATGTTTTTTCTCAAGTAACCCTAAATGAAAAGATCCTTTGAAACCAATTACCTCGAATGCTTTGCGAAGATTTGCCATACTAGGTCTTCCTTTGTAAAAGTAGCCAATTAGGGAACGTTTGTGCTTCTCAGCAAGCGCCTGAATCTCATTATCTAAGAAATTAATCGCTGGCATACCTTTGTACCTAGTAGGAGTCTTCGCTGCAAGTGGTTGGGCCTGACCTTGACTGGCAACAATCTCGGCAAACGACTTGCCAGACCAGACATTGCTGGTCGACGGTGGTGCAGCTAAGGGTGCATCCGTCCGCAGGAGAAGCGCCGTCCGGCCGACGTCGTTTGGCCGCCTTTCCGGTGGAATTTTTTGATGAAATTTTTATGGAATGTTCTTCATCAAGTCTAGTTTATCCACAAAAAATTCAGCTAAAAAATCCAACCGGAAGGTCTTCAAATGATTTTTCAAAATTAACTGTGCAAAATTACACACAGAAAACGCAGTCAACTTCAAAAAATCATTTGACAAGCTTCCTGATTGAGTTTTTAGCTGAATTGTTTTGTGCATAAACTAGACTTGATGAAGAACATGGCATAAAAATTTCATCAAAATATTCCACCAGGAAGGCGGCCAAAATCCGTCGGCCGGACGAACCGTGTGGTGCGGCGGGACGCACATGAATACTCTTCTCTCTCTCTCTCTCTCTCTCTCTCTCTATATATATATATATATATATATATATATATATATATATATATATATATATATATATATATATATATATATATATATATATATATATATATATATATATATATAGGGGATGGTTCAAATACAAAGAGGTCTTTCAATGCAAAGTGAGAACTAATCTCGTGCATTCATTTTCAGATCTCATGGCTCAAAATGAGCCAAAAGTGAACTAAATTTGATCAAAAACGCGATGGCAATTTCGTAATTA